AAAAACTTTCTTCATTATAATCAAATGTTGTTTGTGTATTGAAGGGTGATGTCAAATGAAGAGCTTTGATGGGACGGTCATCGCCCTGTCACCGTTTTAGAATAAGATCGCCCTTCCCAAAGTGAAAAAAAAATTTTTTTCAAAAAAAAACATACGATTGATTAGCTTCTTCTCGGAATTCATCGAACTTCCACACATTGTACTGTACATTATATGGAAAATATGCGGATCAACGATACATTATCAAACTCATCTCTTTATATAATTTATAATCTAAAATATCAGTGGTTGAGAGAGATTACGCATGGTAAGACGAGATTTCCAACAAATTTCAAAAGAAACAAATAATGTAGGCCATAGATAAGTTGAAAGGTTACAACATGAGGCTTGAGAACCTTACAATTTTTGTAACATTTATTTGTGGAGAAATGAAAAAAAAAAAACGATTATAAAATTTGAGAATGTTCTAATTAAACAAAAAACTTCTATTTATTTGTCTTTGATTTAAAGTGATAAAATACTATAACCGATTTATATTAGATTATTATTGTTGTCAGTATTAATTGTGGTGTGATTTAATATGTCATCATTCCCTATGATAAAATTTCAAAGCGGAAAAACCTAATGAATTATCTTTTTTTATTTTTTATTTTTTTATTTTATTTTATTTTTTTTTTAAAAAAAAAACAGTAGCTCATTTAACAAACTGGTATTCGAACTCAGTACCTTTTTCAAATACTTGAAATTTCTAAAAAAATCAAATCGAGAACCAATGAATTTTGAGTGATCCAGCCAAATTTCCCAAACCAAGTTTAAAATAAATAAAGTTTTTTTAAATAACTTTCGCCTTTTTTTTTCAAGATAAAAAAAAAAGTGATAATCAGGGAATGTAGTACGTCCATATTAATGATGTTGTACTCATAATAAGGATAGTATTCTATTATTCCAAAAATCAAACTTTTTTTTTAAAAAAAAAAGAAACCTTATTATTTATTATTATTATCATTATTACACAATCAGTATCTTTTAGAGTAAAATGTATTTGTCAACTTGTCACAAAGATAATTAAAAGTTTTTAGTTCATAAATAATTCTGAAAATTCTCTCGCGTCATATGATCAGATTTCGCAAATAAGGTTTTTCATCGAAAAAAAAAAGAACTTGAATGATTGATTTAATAATTTTTAATAATTTTAACAAGCCCATTAGTCAAGGGAACGCGCAAAAGCAATCATTTAACACAGTAATCACGTGTATAAATCCCTACGGCGCCGGATGACGGTGGTTTAACCCTTTAAAGCGTTGCGCGATTTTTCGCCTTCTATTTTTACATGATGGTTTAATTCTTACAGTCAAATATGTCTTGTCTTTCATAAATGAACAATATTAAGAATAATACAGTTAATGAAAGGAGTGTTGTATTGTGTGAGTGGAGTACAAAGGATATTAATTTTAATCTTTCCATTTAAGGATTAAACGTCCCATTAAACAAATATCTGGTTTTGATGTTACGATATAATGTATGAAGAGGTTCTTTCCACACATGATGACTCGTTTCAACATAGGATTCTTTCCTCGTGTCTTCTTTTGGCGTCTTTGTTCAATACTTTGCGAAAGTTTAAAAGTTTCGCGATATGGACGGTTTCCAAAAAAAAAAAACCAACAAAGAAACCTTATTCTCTTGTACATAATCAACTGTGATAAAATAGATTGATACTGTACCACTACTTTAAAATCATGTTACCCAATCTGCTCTAATTAGATTGGGACACCGTTAGAGTTTTTCACCCGATTTTATGTGGGTTTTCATGGTGGCGGTTAATGTTTACAAAGGAAATAGAAGGAAACAAGTAAATTAACAAGTTAATTAGTTTAAAATTATTTATACACGTATAAATTTTTTTTTCTTTAAAAAAAAAAAAATTTAATTTATGTTATTATTTTCTCATAGAATAAGTGAATTTCTCCGGACAATACTACTAAATTGAAATGATTAACTTTTATTTTATATAGAAAATGGTTAAACCAATATCTATCACATCAAAATCTTGATGATACGAACAGTTATCTCAACATCTCTTGATTTTTACTCTCTGAGAATTACTTGTTGTTTTGGCGTCTAACTACCTAATGCTCTCTTTTTTTTTTTTTTTTTTTTTTTTTTCATGGCTGTAACAAAGGAGACAACGTACAGTGGATACACAAAGCAACGAACATTTTAGGCATGTGTTGAACCTTCTAATTAAATTATTTTTTTTCCTTTTATTTTTTTTATTTTATTAATAACAAAAACTTTAAAATATTTTTTTGGGGGTTGGGGTAAGCACTGGAAAAAAAAAGGGGGGGAAAAGGGAAGAAAAAAAAAAAATCTCATCAAATCAATTCATTAAATAATTTGACATGTCATGCAAAGAAAGTAATATCTTTAAATCACATGTAAAACGAAAAAAGATTATTTGGAAAAAGTTCTCGTGTCACTAACGAGTTTCACGTAACCTGTCATAACTTTAGTTATCTATTTCGCAATTTACCTTTTCCCTTGTTTATATGAAGCCACATCGTTAAAGACGGCTTCAAAATTGAGAATATGCAGAAATTCATTGATCACAATTTGGTCAATTAAAACTCATCGTGTGGCCGTGGACAATAAATGTCTCGAGAAATGTTTTAGTTCCAAAAGGAAAAAAAAAAAGGCAAAATTCTTGATCTATTTAATGGATGAAAAAATGAATTTCCACATGATCTCTCGAAGTCACATGATGTTTATCCGACTCATTCAAGTATCTCTCGCTTCAACGCGATAAGCCGGTAAGATTAGTCTCGCATTATCCATCTAACCGAATCCGTCTCTCAAAGAATATTTCATACATCAAAAAAAAAGAGTTGAAGAGGAGATGGATGATCGATAACGCTAGATGAATTGTTTCAGATTGAGGAAAGCGCACTGGCCTAGTTCGCGTGGCAAAGTCATGGTGTCCAATAGTACTACTACTTGCCTAATTATAGTACGCGTGGGCAAATGTATGTTTTCCAATTTTTTTTTTTTCAAAAACAATTTAATGCATCTTTCTTTGGAATGTTTCTCGACTCTTACCCCTTGTAAGAGCGTCCAAGTATGGAGGGTGAATTTTTACTGAATTATGTGGATGGCTAGTGTTTTTTTTTTTTAACAATATTTCTATATTTAGACAGATTACATAAACAGGAACCAATTCAAGAATGACCAGGGAAACCTTTAAGATAATATTACCGAAAATACCCGATCCTTATGTTTCCACTAAATCCTTTTTCAGTTGTTTTTTGTTTAGGGATAGATATTTAATCACGATGAATTAGATCACATCCTTTAAAATAGAAATGCCACTCTGATTATTATTTATATTTTGTTGAAAAGAAGAGCGTGAAGGTGATTCGTGCGGACTAGGAGAAAAAAATACGACGCAATTCATTAAATATTTTTTTTTAATATTTATCTTGCTCATCTTCAAATTATCGTAATTTTGGTGGTGAAAAAAAAAAGTTTACTAAATTTCAAATAAATGATGCGCGTAAATAAATAAAATAAAAAAAAAAAAACGCAAAAAGGCGACATTACAAGAATCGTTTGTATAATGTAATGCATTTTTCGTAACGTATCGAATCATATATTTTTTTTTAAGTTGGACCAACCATTAGGGAAAAGAAATTAAAGTAACATTGAATTTTAAACAATTTGGGATCTAGGTCAACATTTGATTCGGCTTTCACGGACAAAACGAAATAATAATATTAACAAAACATCGAAAATTTATTTCATTTTAATTAATTTTTTCAAATAAAGAAAAATAAAAACAAAAAGGCTACTGGAAAGACTTGATACAAACACAATGATTGGATGGGTTGCCTATTCCTTACTACCAAAAGAAAAATAAAATAAAAATAAAAATAAAATATATTGAAGGATTGATCCCTTTTTTTTTTTGTTTAAAAAAAAAAAAAAACTTTTTGATGAGCTAACCTCTGATGGTAGGTTCGGATAAAGACCCTATAAGAAACAAAATTTTTGAGAGGTTCATGGTAATGAAAAAGAGCATTTCTAATGACTTGCTAATCCTATATCATACATATTTATTTTAAAATAAATAAATAATTATATATAAAATTGGAAAACCTGTTTAAACTAACAATTAGTATATTCCAGCCACTCTAATATTTTCATTTCAACAGTAGGTAACAGAAAAAAAAAAAATTTACAGTAGATTACTTACTGTATGCGATCACATGTTTCAATCGATTTAATTGATTTAACTGATATAAATAAATATACATAAAAATAATTTTTTATTTATGCTTTGAGAAAAAAAAAAAATTATTCTTTTTTGTAAACCAGTCACCACCTATTCATTTCTTTCCAAATAATCCAAGTAATTCAAAAAAATCTTTTATAGTACTTGACAATAATTTTTTTTTTGTGAACCCTAATTTTGACAAATATTTTTTTATTTTATTTATTTATTTATTTTTTATTCATTGTATAAATTAAGATCCCTACCCCAAAAGGTAGACCCCAAAGATGTAAAAAAAATTTCTGCTCTAAAACGAATAAATACTCTCGGATTCATCGTCTTGAAAGTTTTTTTTTCAACCTAACATATTCTTTTCTTTTCTGGTAAGAAAGAACGATTGAAATTATTTTCACCTTCAAAACTATTCCCTAATTTGATCAATTTACAAAACATATTTCTTATATCACACAATTATTTCTGTTTCTCCGCTTAAAAATTTTCTTAAAATTTCTAATATAATAATTTTTTTAGATATATAATTATAGAATAGAAATTAAACCATCTTATCTATTCTATTTAATAATAATAAACAAAAAAAAAAAAAATTTTTTTTTTCCCTTGAAAATATATAAGCTTTTATCAAATTTTCTCCTTAAATAAATACCTCGTTACTCTTCCCCAAAATCTCTCTTGCGCTTTTTTTTTCAACTTTCGCGCCAAAAATATCTTTGACAACATGCATCACCAGCCTTATGTTTCTACCTCGGGATATGTTTTCCCACCTGAAACCGTTGTTCAGACCCCTGTGGTCATTAGCTCAGGTATACTTTCGTACCGCTTTATCGTTTTTTAAATCCTTTCTAGGGTAAAGTCGCGCATATGTCTTTTATTAAACACGAGAAAGTGAAAAAGTTTGGACGAAAAAGCGTGTCAAAAAATTCTAATGTTAAAAATATAATGATATTTATTGATATTTTCAAAGTTTATCAAAATATTTTCGAAAATAACAAAAAAAAAAAAAAAAAAAAACCAAACTAACTGACCACCGCCAATATCTATACAACATAAATAAATAATAATACAAGTTTTTTCTCTTGGCCCGTTCTCTTTTGTTTTTAAATCTTTACAATTCAGATTTCTTTACCTGTTCACAACCAACGTCAGTACCCTCGGTTTCCGTGTCTTCGGTTCCTTTTATTCCACCAGCCCTTCCGTTAAGCATGAATCCAACACTATCATTAAATATGTACCCCATCGACAACTCACAATCAGCACCCTCACAAGTCTCTCAGATCATTTCTCCCGTTCATTCACCTTCACCCCCACTATCAATACTCGAATACCGTGACTCCCCGACTGCTGATGAATTGGATGTTCCTGAATTCTTTCAATACAGCAAAGAAAAGTATGAGAGCGCAAAGTCTGGTTGCAGACGACGGAGAAAATCAACGCGTGATGAACAATGTGAGACATCATCGATGGACGGCGGTGATGATGTCGATGATAATGCAAGGCAAGTATCAATTCTCTGTTGTAGAAATTGAATCAACATTCTGAAAAGTCGGTAAAAAATACGCGAATCGTCCTTCACGGAAGGGGGTTTTCACGTCATCAAATTCACGTTTTAGATTTGCGTCTAACCCTTAATCCTAATTTGCCTCAAACAGTACAATGTCACAGATTGAATTCCGTCGTCAAATACACATCCAATCGGAGCAAAAACGACGCGCTGAGATCAAGGACGGGTTCGAAGAGCTTCGCAGGCAACTTCCAACAACTTATACTGGTCGAAAGTTGAGCAAGGCTGTCTTATTACAGAAAGGTGCCTAAATCTACGCGTTTCTTTCCATCAAACTATTCGTTTTATGTACATGATATAGACTTGAGTAGAATTTAGCTCATCTTCTTTCCTCTTTTTTTTATGTATAGCTGTTTCACATATGAAAAATATGCAAAGGAAGGAATCTTTTCTTCTTGATGAAATCAACCGTTTAACTCAAACGTGTGTATATTTGAATGCGGAGTTAGAGAAAGAGAAAAGGTATTTGTTCACACACATTTCCGTTCGGTTCGTTCTATATCATACGAGATTTTATATATTAACTTATTTAGTTTTTTCTTTTTCAAATCATTTATAGGATGAGTACACTTTATCGACAAAAACAAACTCTTGACAAAATATACGCAATCGGACTATGAGTTGTTTTCATATGGACATTCATTCATTTTCAAAAGGGCCTTCTGAACAAAGTTTTTGATACCCTGTTGTTTTTATTTCTTTATTTAGTATAGTTTCTCTTAAACTAACCGAATGATCAAATAATCGTCAATGCGTTGATTCGATTTTAATTTTAAATATAACCGAATTTTCTTTTTTATATATATATTTGAAATGTTTACCTGATTTTTTCTGCAACTCTTCTTGTATATTTTTTTTTTTTTCCTTCTTTCCTTTTCCTATCTTTCCTTCATTTTCTTCTCTCTTGCTCCTTTCCAACATTAGAAATCCTTTCCCTTTGGTTCAATCTTTTTAATCACTATATATAATACTCGCATTTGCATATATAACTTTTTTAATCATATTCACGCGAGTTGTTAGAAAAATCACCTTTCAATATTTTTTTCTATTTGCTTTTTTTTTCGTTTCTTTGATTGATCGTTTACCTTTTGTATGTATTTCTTTCTTATTTTTTTTTTTTTTTTTTTTTTATTATTTCTCCTTTTTATTCGCGGTTATTTTCGGTTAGCGATTCTTACTTTACAAACTATGGTGTGATGGTTTTTTTTTTATTTTATTTTGAAAGTTTTCTTTTCTTGTTTATAAATATTGAGTTGGCGCCACTGGGTTGGCGAAAAAAGCTGGATAAAACCATACCATAAAAAAAAAAAAAAAAAAAAAAAAAAAAAAAAATAAACAAAAAAAAAGATTGTTTTCATTGATTTTTTAGCAATGCAAATTATATTTTTCCTGATATATTTCTTTTTTTCCCTTTGAATTTAATTCTGGGCGAATGAATAATGTATTTTTTTTTTTTTTTTTTTTTTGTTAATAAAAATAATAAAATCAATTAATAGTTTTTTTTTCTCACGTTAAAATTGTTTGGATGTGTGACAAATGATGATAAAAAAAAAAGGTTACATAAATAACAATCTATTATGGTAACAACAATGTACAACTTTTTGTTTCTTTGGTCGCGTTTCTTTTTTGACAGATAAATCTAAACGTGGAAATCTTTTTAAGAACGCGTGTCAATTGCTTTTTATCACGTGAAAGTCGATGTACTAAATTAGGGTTACCCATTTTGTTCATTCGTATTACTTGAAATACTTCATATGATTCGATTTTAACAATGAGTTTGAATATTTGAAAAAAAGATGAAGGACAAGCTCCAACATATAAAAAAAAAAAAGGATGATTATGAAATCAGTGATGATGATTGGATAAAGGATTGACATTGTGTAAAAGACTTGTATATGCATGTTAAACTTGAAGGCTGAATTAAAGTTCACTTTTTTTATTGGAAAATTTAAAATGCGGATTGGGTTCGTGGAAAGTCGCTTTATGGATTCATTTATAAAAAGGTAAACGAATGGATGGAAAGGCATGTTGTCCTGACAAACCAAACGAAATTTGACATTTTTTTTTTTTTAAAGGGTCCAAAAAGAACCCTCTCACTTTTATTAGGCTCCATTGTTTTTTATATATGTATGTATGTATTGTATGTATATGAAAATCATAAACGGTTCAATAAACAGGAATGATAACTTGATTTTTTTTCTTATTAAACAATGATTGTTTCAATAACATCACATTTATCAATTAGGTAATAGCATATAATCGAAACCTATCAAGATTTTTTTTTTTTTTTAGATAAAAAAGAAACATTCTAAGTTAGTCCTTGAGAATATTTTAATTATTAATGTTTAGGATTAAACATAATATATTTGGTGATTTATTGGTTCAATTAATTTCGTTTATAATATTTAGAATTGTGGCGCATAAATGGCATTTTGTATCACAATACGGTTACGTAAACGTTACCATTGATTGGGTAAAAAACGAAAAAATCGGAGATGATTAGTCATTATCAGAATTATGATTTTACTCTGCGAAAATCGAAAGGTTAGGAAAAAATAAAAAAAATAAAATAAAATAAAAATAAAACACAATATATAATTTAAGTGTTACATCTTTTTTCCTTGAAATAATAATAATAATAATAGTAATAATAGTAATATTAGTAATAATAATAATAATAATAAATTTTTTGTAAAAAAAAAAAGAAAAAAAAAAAAAAAGGAAACAAAAAAGCAAACTCATACTGCTTCACAATCTCTTTTTTTGATGTTGCGTGTGAAAATGTCGAACAAGGGGGGAGATTAGACGTTCGAAATTGTTACGTTCGAAAATAAAGACAAGAAAAATACTTGGCTTTGTGGTATCTGAAAAAAAAAAAAAAAAAGATAACTTGAGGGGTGGGAAACTAATAAGAAAGAGAGTTGTATACAAAGATAAATTGATTCGTTGGCAAATTTATCTCAACATGTTGAGAACTTGTGAAGACTTTTTATAAACAGATTGTTAAAGGTTGCAAGGCTTTCTTTTCACGTAAAAAGGTTCAATTAATATAAAAAGGGATCTGATTCGACATGATAAGGAATTTCGTGATAAACAGATTACTTAATAATTCTTGTTCAAAAAAAAAAAATAAAATAACAACTAAAAAAAGGAAAACAATACAATTTGTATGATAGATGTTGTTTCGTCTCAAATCATTTAAACTTTGGTTGATGAAAACCTGGCAATGACGGAGCAAGATGACGAAACAGGATAACGCGTAAGAAGGCACATGATGATCTCATTCATTTCTTCGATCGAGTCCCAAAGAACCAAAAAGAAATCATTTTTTTTTTTTACATAAATTTGGTCCTTTAGCTTTTATATTCGGTTTTTTTTATATATAAATTTTTTTTCGATCATTCATTCTCTATTTTGGAGTTTCGTGTCAATCACATGCCACATAGAAAACGAGTCACCCAATCTTTTCTGAACTTGAAATTTTCATGTTACAATTTTTTTTATTATATAAACCAAATTTGGTTGCAATATTTCTAAAAACTCTTTAAATCGAAAAAAAAAATTTTTTATGGTAATATTAAAGATATCAGATGAACCGATATCAGATGAACTAATATTTATTAAATCAAGATCATAAACGCGATTTTTCACAAACAAAGTTTACTTGGCAAACAATGTATTATCTGTTATCCAAAAAAAACTAATAGATCATCATCATCTAACAATATAAACGCGAGTGGCGGTAAAAAAAGGCTTATACTTATTGACCATGGGACCTATTCTTTACTAATTCCCTTTGTATGATGGTGGCTATGTTCGGTAATTTACGGGATTCTACGCCTAATTGATTTATGACTTCACAAGAATGATCGTTTGCTCTTTGTCGCTCCAAACAGATTGTTTCAACTGTTGTGTCTATTTTTTTTTTTTTCTTTTATTTATTTGTTTGTTCGACTTTTTTCACTTTTTTTGTGGGAAAAACGTTACGCGTGATAAAGTTGCGGATTAAGAAATTAATCAAACTGATGAGTTGATAATGTCATTGGGACGTTATCATACTATTTGGGGAGAAATCTTGAATTTTTTAATAATAGGTCCTTTGTGTCAAATGATTTTATTATTACTCTTTTTTTTTTTTTTTTTTTTTTGGTGAGACGATTACGCATTTATTTTAAAAAGGATAAAGGCATGGGAAAAAATTCATAAGCAAAAATAAAACTGTTAATTATTTAGATATGTTATGCTAGATATAAAAAAAAAAATAATAATAAATAGATCGTGATTTCGAATTAAAGAAGCTTTTTCTCATTTTTGGATCTAATTTATCAATGAATTGTTTACTTAAAATAAAATAAATTAAAAAAACGCGTTTACTTTTTGGTTTTATAATTAATTAGCATATAATCGGCATTTTTATAGGTACACCGAATCTTTTTTAGCATGATCTATTTTAGGGAATACAATAAGATTTTTGATTTGAAGCAACCCTTTGTAACGCAAGGTTTCAGGTTTCCATGCTAGAATTTTTTTCTTATTATTTTCTTTTCACTTTAATTAAATAAATAGCTTTCCTTCTTGGCTTTTCATGATGTTTTTCTTTTAAGGGAACATAGGCTTAAACCTTAAGTTTAAAAGAAGGAAAATTAAATTAAAGTATTTAACCGTGGAAAATTTCCTCGGATTAGCCGAACCGTAATCTATTATTTTTTATTTATTTATCTTTTTTTTTTTTTTTTTTTTTTGTAAAACATTAAATCGTCTAAATGATGTTGGGCAGCATTGTTTTTAAATCAACAAACTAGAAAGTCATAAATATGGTAAATCTCATATTTTCGGTACTTCAAAAAAAAAAAAAATTAAAGTATGCAGAAGACCATAAACAAAACTTTACTTCTATTGGGGCGAAGTTTTTTTGTAAGAGATGATTAATTTAAATTATTTTAATATAACAATTAATTAATTAAATTAAGCTTCGAAAAGGAAATAAAAAAAAAAAAAAAAAAAAAAAAAAAAAAAAGAGAGAGAGAGAGAGAGAGAGAGAGAGAGAGAGAAATAATTTTATTATTTTGAATTTCTTTTTTTGGGGGAGTTTTCGATGTAAATTTTTTTTTATTTTATTATTTTTCATTTATTTTCATTTTATTTTATTTTATTTTATTTTTTTTTTTTAAAAAAGATTATTATTATTTTCATTTAACGAAGCAACTTGGATGAATTTAGAATGTTTTTTAATTTGAATGACGAAAGTATTTCATCCAAAAATAAATTGCAAGGGTTTAAATGATTCATATCCGTTGGCGAATGAAGTACCTTGTTTATATTATTGTGATATATTGAATATTCCTTATTAGACAATGCATTTAGGTGTGACGCAGCAACGATTCTTTGATTTCATATGACGCCATAGGTTCATAGTTTAACCTTTGACCCCGAGAAAAATACAACCCTTCTCTTTTAATTCTTAAATTCTATTGTGGCTTTTCCTGTGAAATAAGCATTATTATTATTATTATTATTTATTTATTATTCTTATTATTATGCTTTTAAAGTTCTAAGCCACGGTACATGTCGGATTTACGATCTTTGATGCCGAATTGTCACAAATAATCAATCATTTTACAAACTAGTTGACATTATCGCACATTTGTATTTATCATCTTGTGTAATTTCAATTTTTTTTTTTCGGTGCTTCTTTTTCAACAATTCCATTTCCGTGCGCTTTTTTGTACATGAACGTTTGACACATCTTGATTTAAACGGTGAAAATCGACATGATGCTTCCCCTTAAAAAAGCGTTATTGGCAACCTTCATCTTTTGCGACGGTCCTAGGTCCTTCCAAGGTTTAACCAATGACATCTGTCCGGGATGACAAATCTAGGAAGTTTGGCTAGAAGAATGGCATCACCACGTGTCACCGAATGACGCACCTCTTTTGACGCTCGCATCAAGGATCCACAGGGGTGAAGCGATCGCACCCTTTGATTCCACACCGTCACGATACCGACTGTAGTAAGGGGTATACCGATTAGATCTTTGATTGCCTGAAAAGTGATGATAGAAGAGGAGGGGAAAAAAAATAAAAAAGCAAATAAATAGTAAACATTTAAGACATGTAAAACGTGTTTTCATTTTGTCAAACCACGAGAATCAAGTCAAATGGTTTTCAATTAATAAAAAACATGATTTTATTAAATGTTGAATTAATAAATATAGTTCAGTTAATTTCAATTTTGTAACGGTTCGAGGATTACAAAGAAAAAAAAAATAAAGGATTTATTTTGTTTATCACTTAAAAAAAAAAAAAAAAAAAAAAAAAAAAAAAAAATAATCAGTGAACAAGAAAAATCGAAAACCACAATCATTTAACAAAATGCATAATTGTTATTAATTAATTAATGAGGATTCATTAATAATCCTTTCACTAAAGAATAACAATGAGTGTGCGACGAAGCGCAAGATTTTTTTTTTAAAAAAAAAGATAAAGAAAGTAAAAAAGAAAAAGATCCTTCCAAAGTACAAAAAATTAGGAAAGAGAATTCCAAAGAAGTTGGAGAACCATAAAAAAAAAAAAAAAAAAATTATTTATGATATTTGTAATACAAGTGATATTCCTTTGATGAGAAGTTACTTAAATTACTTAATCATGTTAAGAAGTAAACAACATTCCTTTAACAGCAAGAGAAAAACGTGGTGGATGCTCATGGCGATAGACCTCGTGTGTAAAAAATAAACCATTCAATAAACAAAAAATTTTTTTATGGTTATACCGTCCTAACCAAATACATGCGAGTGATCGAATATTACTTCTTATTTGGAAGTTCGGCTAACCGGAGCTGCCATTGTTTATCGGTAACTCAATTCGATTCCCATTCCGAATTATATAATAAGATTTTGAATGATGATTTGTTTGCGAAATTGCATTAAGAAAATCATTCGTCATTCTGGTTTTTTAATTTATGCTCTTTAAATGAAAAATATTAATAATATTAATAATATTATGAGATTTTTTTCTTGATATTGATATTTATTTTAATAATAGTATTTGGTTTAAGTTCTGAATGGCGATGATGACATAATGTGAAAAAAAAAAGAAACCTCTAAGCCATATTTATTTCTTGAATAAATTCTTGTAAATCTTTTTTTTTTTTTTGTTTTCAAAAAAAAAAAAGAGGGAAAAAAAAGGGAAAAAAAAAAAAGGAAAAAAAAAAAAAAAAATAGAGAAAAAAAAAAAGGTATAGGATAAAGGCAAAAGTTAAATAAAATACATAGTAAATATTAGTAATTAATTATTAGGTATTTAGATTTCGAAATTAAGGAGTATTTTTTTTTTTATTATGTTGTGCGACAGAAATAGATACAGCATGGAATTGCGTAATTAGTCGCAATTTATGATTCTCGTGTTAGTCGCGATCAAATTTTTTTTTTTCAAAAAAAAAAAAAAAAAAAAAAAGACGAGCAAAGGAAACGAGTTATTAAATTCTGTAACCTAAAATCAGGTTTTTTTGAATTAAAAAACGTTAAAACAAAAACGTGCAAAATCCTTTGTTAATGTATTTCTTTGTTAAAACCTATTGAAAAAAAACGTGTTGACAAATTGCTTTTGTTCACCCCGAAGATGTTGAAAATTTTTTACTACCCCAGATTGTTTAGCACAATATAAAAAGAAATAGGGGATTGTATGATGATGGATGATGAACTTTACTTTTCTTTGATAAGTTGCCGTGATTGTCATTGGTGCGCGCAAAAAAGATTTCGATTTTCGCTTCGGCTACATCAAGTGAGAACGTTTCACAGCATTTCTGTTCAAACATATTCGATAGAATAGAAATTATGTAAACACATTATCAAATATCGTTAATATTTCTGAACTTCTCCACTGAATACTTTGTTGTTTCGTTGTTAGGGATTGCTTCACTCAGCACATTCTTGATTTCCAAATTAAGAATCATGTACCTGTATCTAATCAAAATTACTCTTAATTAATTTTTTTTTTTTTTTTATGCTAGGTTATCGATTTCATCGAATGCAAATCCTTGTTTATCATATATTATATTAAACACATGGAAATGGATTGTTAAAAAAACTGTTGGGATGATTTCATCACCTATTGATGTTCATTTATTTATATTTCCTACCATATGTTTTTCATATACAAAGTCTGTGTGTAAAAGAGATGTTACCATTGGTTCTTAATTATTTTCGTATTACATGCTTTAAAAGTAATAATTAAAATAGAGGAATTACTTTAAAAGTACAAAGTGGGGAAAAAAAAAGTGGGAACTACCGCCGAAGATATTGGTTTAGCCGAATTTTTTTTTTTTTTTTTTACGCCAATGTGCTTACTTTAAGTAATTGGGTCCCACTCTCTGTTCATTGGTTGGAAGGGTTTTTTTTTTCTCTTTGAGAGAATTCAATTGTAGGATTGTTTATTGTTTATACAACAAATTATCAAGTGTTGATTTATCGTAAATCGCAAAACACTTTTTTTTGATGGAAAACTCGTGTTTTACACACGTGTTTCTCGTTTATACATCAAAAAAATCTCCTCCTTGTGATTGTTCACGTTTGGTTTCAATGAGCGCTCAGGAAATCTTAAAAACAGGTAATCGAAAATGATTTTTTTGCTTGTCGAATTCCCTTCTTTTACAATAGAGTTACCCAAAATTAAACCTTGTAATCTTGTTTCTTGATTAAAATAAAAATAATAATAAGGCCGCGTCTTTTTGTTTTTGTCTTGATTCAAAATTACAAATTTGTACAAATTATCAAAACAAATTGTGATGATGATGGAATAAAAAAAAAAATTTTTTTTTTAGTTTCTATTTAAAGTTATTTGTGTTTAAAAATAAAACTCGTGCTAGTCCCCACGTGTTTTTGACTTTTGCTATTTTCGTTTTAAAGTTTTTTTGTTTGTAAAAGGGAAACAAAAACAAATATAATCTGTGACACGTTGGGGGTCGGTTGTGTCACGGTGACTTGGTCGATGATAGTGCACGGATCCTGCACGTGCGTCATCGTTCGGAACCGTTCTTCAATTGATTGACCCTCCCGTGCGTGTTTACGATGGCGAGATAAGTTATCGATGAGGTCGATAGGCGTGATCAAAACATCATTAAATTGATGCCGATCCAAAAAAAATCTGAGAGATTTGGTGGCTTGTGGCAATCAAGTCTCCTCTCACCTTCTTTTTTTCGATAATGCGTAAATAATTATGCAAACATAAATTTTTAAATGAAAGTTGCGTGTGATCGGAGAGATTGTAACCGAGAGGTTTAAGAACTGTCAAAATGATTATCGTCTAAGACAAAAGTGGTAATAGAACTTTTTTTTTTTTTTTTTCATTTTTTTTCATTTATTTATTTACAAATTATTTTAATACCATACTATTTTGATCATAGTGCAAATGACACCATTTGTGCAAATTGCCAAGCGCACGTCGTCGGTCATTAAAACATGTTGTTGGTAAGCCGTTGCCAAATCTCGGCGCGGAAACATGGTCATTTCTCGTGTTTTACCAACCAGCCATGATTGAAAACATTTGATGACTTCCAATTATTCTTCGGGCCGAAATATTTTCTCATGAAGGTGTGAAGATAACTTTTAAAGATGAGATAAGGAACGGGTAAAAGAATACACACGAACAACATCTAAACAAACACAATGTGTGCGTACATGAGACAAATTCATCTTGGAATGATAAATGTAATTATCCATTTACAGAATGACTTTCAAAGGATCATTTTACAAAGGTTTCGTGAAATGTTTAGTTAATGAGCCCAAAATTGGTCCAGCTTTGTACCGCCCTTTTTTTTTTTACGCGTTTATTGGATACCTCGAGAAATTCTCACCCAAGTTGCACCAATCGGCGTTTGTAATATTTGTCATTTGAAAATAAAAAGGGTTACCATCTTGATTTGTTTGGAGATGCCTTGTTACACAAGGAAGGCCAAGAGCAAAAAAATCGGAGGTAATTTTTCACACCCTCCCTTTAAACATAAAAATAAAGTATAACTGCTTTATTTACTTTCCCTACTTTTTTTTTTTTTTTTTAGACTTGAAAAATAAAAAAGAAACAATTTGCTTTGTTTTGTGTAAAACGAAATATGATGAATCATGTTGTATTACTCATTAATTGTTACATGATCTTTCACCAAGAATTTCCTCACGGTGATTGATCCAAACATCATTTAATTAAAAATTAAAAAGTTTAATTAAATTTTTTTTTTTTTTGGTTTTTGCATTTGTTTACATGCTATTTGATATCTACTAATAACCAAGTTTTGAAAAAAGATAACACCTTTTGGAAAAAAAGGAGTCGCACGTGACAAATGAAAAAATTTTAACAATGGTCAATGAATCCATAAATAGAAATTACATGTTTGCTTGCAGGTTACTACATTAAATCTTAATACAATGACACAATAATTATATGATTCAATTAATCATATCTAATTAAATATTGTTATTCATTTGGAGATTGTTTCACCGAGATAATTGATATCGTTTTCATGTTGTAAACGAGTTTACGTTCTAGTTTGTTTGAATTCATCCCAATTCATCCATCCCCTCTTTAACCCTTAAAATTGAAACTTTTGTAAAAAAAACAATTGAGATCCTAACGTTCGCACAGACAGCATACAATTGATTGGTCGTTGGTTTATCCATATTCGAGTAAATATTTATGCTCCTTGTCGTTCAGGGTCCAAAGGATAATAATATTTGTTTAACGATAAATATTAAGTTTTTCCCAATTTGTCCATCAAATTTCGTTTCCATCAATTAAATTGTCAATTAAATTATCAATTAAATTATAACACAAACATATTACATCAAAATTTGTAAAAATTTCCGAAATGATTTTCCTTTTTTATGATTCTAGATTATGCAGAATTAATTTTTTAAATAACCTTCACATGAATATTTCAAACTTTTAAAGTTTTTCCTTAAATTATTTGTACACTGGTTGATGAAAAAAAAAAGGGTTTTTCCTTGGTATATCCTATGCGAATTCTATTTCAAGAATATGAGAGGAATTGTATTGGTCCCCCGAAAGTCCCTACTTGACATTGTGATCAAATGATAATAATCCTATAAATCGCGTTACATGAACGCGTTTCAAAAAAAAATTAAGATGAGTTATTTTTGCCTGTATCTCTTATTAATTTAAAATTTTTTTTTATTTTTTTCAAATAGAAAAAAAAAAAAAAAAATTATCACCGCATTGATTATCATGCTCTGGGGCTTGTTACGCAACTAAAAATCAGGTTTTCAGATCTTATGGTTTGATGAGTCCCCTCTAAACCTGTTTGCCGTTGGTACGATCATGAGAGCGAAAAAAAAAACAAAACTTGGAACCTATCCTTTAAGGTGTCGTGTCTTTTGCCACCTTCATTTTCATTTGCTCGAAAATTAAATGGCGTGTTTCACGTGACTTCCACGATTCTCGCAACTGAAGTCACATGAAAGAAATCTCGCCTTTCGATGTCAGCGTTACACGACCGATTCGATGGGAAAGTTCCTGACGTAACTCCTTACACACGTCAAAACAAGACGCCATCTGAATTAATGTGACGTGCGTCAAAGACGTAAATGAAAATGGGGAAATGACTACGGCAACTACGGCAAGTGGAACGAAAACGAAATAGGTTGTGAGATCACGTGTTAGAACTCCCATTGGTCCTCTGTCGGATGCACGTGATCATCGTGTTTTGTCAACATGATAACTTCCCATCGCAACGTCAAAAGGTGTCTTTACTATCTTTGACGTATAATAATAAATCATAGGTTCCCGTTATTAACCTTGGCAAAATGGCGACCGGCGTCACGACCAAAGAAAGCTTTATCTCTTCCAAGGTTAGCTTAGATAACAAGTACCTTACCACTGCGTTTCGTCAAAGCCCAGATCGCACTCAGGAACGTTATAAAGAAGTAATGCAAGATACACTTCCATTGAAGGAAGAAAAAATTGTGTTAATTCCGACACGTTTACGCGAACTTCTTGCCAGTATCTTTTTATTGTTTTTTTTTTTTTTTTGTTTTTTTCCTTTGGCGTCAAGTTTGATTTCAAACTTATTTTCAATATAATGTGTATATACATATATCACCCTTAATGGATATAAATAGACACGTCAGACGAAATAACGGTAAAACTAGGCTGCTTTCCTTATACGAACCTGGTGTACTTTACCGTGAATGACAACCTATTCATATGGGAATATGAGAAAGGGTAGATATTTTCAGTGCGCTTGATCGGGAACGCGTGTCACTTGATAAACCTTCATCATGATCCTATCCGCTACCGTTACTCACTGTTATCATTTTCTTTAATAATCTTCAACCTTATCATTCGTCGATAGAAATGATGATAACGCTATCGGTCACATAGACGTGCATCCCCTACAGGATCTTTATATAAAATGCGTGGGTCTGGCCAAGCCGAGACCTGGTATGTGACTTTTATGAGAATCCTTTGTCAGAAAGCGTGTGATTCGTATCTTGATCGATTGATCGATCTATTTTTTTTTTACATATATATAAGGACGTTTCATCGATGATGCGCAATATGTATTGGTTATCGTCACGGACAAATCGATTTACGTCTTTGGATTAAGCAATACTCCCACAGGGATAGTTTTCCATGATATGTCATCAGACAGGTACCGTGCGAACTATAGTAAAAAAACTGTGGAATCGATAGTTGGCACCGAGGATGGGCGTATTTTTCTGATCGATTCCGGAGAACTCTGTGAACTGGTCTATGAGGTTGGTTATATCCTTTAAGACGTGATCGAATTCTGTTTGATTTTATGCCGTTCCGATCTCTAAATTCATTTAATCCAGGATGAGGGTTGGTTTTCTCATCCTTGCAGATTAGAGATCCAATCGCTAAGCACGTTTAATAAGCATTGGCGTTATATTTCAAATTATTCATGTAAGGAGATAATACCGTCATTCAATTATTGATGCGTTAAAACATTATGTAAAATAATCCGCACATGATTTATCTGTAATCTTGAAGCACGTCTTAGGTCTGCCGTGGTTGATGACACGCGTAGGATATTATACGTAATGTCTGACAGCCATATAGAGGTATGGGTCGGTCCTTGGGTCGTTTTTGAACTTTTACGTTCGCAAAGAAAGTTCACGGACCTTTTCCCCCTCCACGAATCATTACTTTCTTTTATAGGCGTTTCATATTACCAAGGATGGAGGTCCCTTAAGACATTTAGGAAGATGGTCCATCAATGAGGACAGATCCGGCTTGAGAGGGACGCTTGCCTCCATGCATCCAATCTACGTTACTGAGTCTGCATTCTATTGCCTCGTGGCTGTCACAAGCACAGGTAAATTTCGTCATTCGATTCGTGATCCCCAACGGAAAGGTTTTGCTTTCAAGGATCGAGCTTAACTTATTAAAGTCCCTTTACATTAGGCCAACGTGGATACTTTACTTGCTATGCCATTAATAGGGGATACAATTGGGTGACGGACACACTACCATTTAAAAATAAAGAACCTAATAGTTTGATTTTATATGAGGTTCATGATCCCCCACCGCAACCTCCAGCTCAGGTTGCCCAACAAAGTACTACTGGATTTTCGATGTTTAAATATTTCCACGGGGTATTCTTTGCTTTAAGAAGAGAGGGCGCGTCGCATGTCGTGACCACCACCAGCCCAAACCATGGCTCGATGTTTTTGAGAATCAGCCAGGTATGTTTTTTTCGGTTTTGAATTAAAGGCCCTTAAGCGGAAACGACGAGTCATTTGTCCTGTTGCAATTTTTTTTTCTTTTTCCCCAGAACCAAGAGCTGATATTTTCCGAGCATCTCTTTATATTTCCTTATCACAACATTTATGAAATTCAAGAGATCATTAATCCGTTATATGATCCCAAAGCATTTGAGGAGTTTTCAAATGATTTGATCAATCAGTTTTGCTCCCCCTCTCGAAAGTTCCTTGTATATTCACATCATGGTTGGTGCACTTGATCTTCACGAACCTTCCCCAAAGGGTACTTTGATTTATTAATAATTTTAATTCATTTTAACCTCTTGATAAAGGTATCATTATATTAAACAAGATGAGGCCTGTCGATCATCTAGAGAACATTCTCAAGAAGGGTTCTTCACGCGAATCGTCAAAGGCTTTTATCGATAAGTAAGGTTAATTCAATTACGTCCTTTTTTTCTCTTTTTTTTTTTTTTTTTAAAAAAAAAAAAGATAATCTAGGCAATAGGTTATTCATATCTTTCATTTATTCCTATGTTAATTTAGCTATGGCGAGGAACAAACTTCGGCGATGTGTTTTTTGATCGCCAACGAAGAAAGCTATTCGTTTTTAAAGATCTTTAGTAGGTTACCATACGTAATAATGCGTTCTCTTTATCGAGTCATCCTTATAATGATTGTTTGATATGCCATCCAAAAATTTTTCTTAGATTATAAGACTTTGTTTGAAGGATTTGGATATTGCTTAGCGAGAATTCTTCGACCCGTATGGAGGCAGCGAATACTTAAATTAAGGTCGGTTGTGAGAGACCTCTCTAAACATTGTCAACGCCTGGGATCTTTTTAGTAAAAATAACCCTTTTTACACATCTCGTTTAGTCCAAATGCCACAAACGTAAATCGGCTGGATACAAGCATTCCTGAACAAAAGCTTCAATATATTGTCAAAAAGTTGTTAAACCTCAAGAAATTCTGTGACAAGTAAGGATCTTATCGTGATGTCGTTGCTCATTAAGGGTCACCCTAATCGATAATGCTCGCACTTTTGTAGGCATCCTGATTTAAAAACCCTGCATCACCTCGAGAGTGGTCCTCTGACGGCGGTGAGTTAAATGATCATTATTCACCTTCCTTGAAAACGACGTTAATAACATAATGACATGATTATCTGAATGAATGTTGCTATTAGCCACCACAAGCCATTGGCATAAGTGGTTTATACGATGCGCTCGTTAGGATGACCGATGCGATATCCTTTATCTTACTCATGCTGGAGTATAGCTTGCCTGAAACGATCGAAGGGTATGCTTTTTCTCGTCAGAATTTGAGAAATGCGGATCATTACCTGTTGATTGACATCATCTTTCGCTTTATAGTGTAGATCTATCAACCAAGCAAACGATAGCCAACTCAAACTTCGACCAGTTGGTGACTGACATGTCGGTTAGGAGCAGTTGGCATGATGTGGTTCTGGCTATCATCAAGAGAGAAACTACGCCACGTGTAAATGTTCAACGCGATTTCATAACCTTTTCATGCTTTCTTTGTTTTGCCCGCAAAGACGATTTTCGATTGTGAGAGAATAACCGAATCCATTTTCTTGCAGGTCGAAAACCTGAGTCGAAATTTAGAAGCACGCTGTCCGACCTTTTGTAACGCCGTTGAAGTTAAATTATATCAGGCACGTTGTGAGATTCCGGATAATAATGGTAGCACTCAAATGGTTCTTCAAATATTTCTTGCTTATGATAATTTAATGACATGCAGGGATATGAAGCTCTGCAAAAGGCCAAGAAGAATGAAGACGAGCACACTACGAATGAAGCGTTACGGATGTCACTCAAGTAATTAATCAGTATTTGAAAATGGATAGTCTTTAAAAAAAAAATTGTATAAAGATAACCTTCGATTCAGCAATAATATTACTCACCAATCATGGTTGAATTTAACAGATTGTTTACCGATTCCATTAATACCATGACATACGGTACCTTAATTAACTTGTGCAATGAATACAAAAATTTCGAGTTTTACGAAGGTACGCCGTTGACACTCTAACGAAATTTACCACCTTGACGCGTATATTTAACTCCTTTTTGTGTATCACTTTGTAGGCGCTGTTGAGCTGTTGTTGAAGGCTGCACATACTATGGAGCATGTAACTGAAAAACGCAAGTCGATTCTTGATAACGTTATTGAAACCTTACGAGATGCTGGTGTCTTTAACGAAGGAGTTTCCCGTAATTCATCCGATTTTCAATTATTCGTTACATCTCTCATGATTTTTTCTTTACGTCGCTCACGTAGAACCTAAATTCTTACAAATCATGAATTCAGGTCACGCGCAAAAATTTAATCCCGTTCTTCACAAGGCACTAGAACTTGGGTTAAGCTTGAAAGATATAGATTTTCTTTTCGCAGTGTATGACGAATTTTTGCGGGCCGATTCCGTTCCACAACTATTTGACGTAAAATTTCTACCTTTATTCGAGTCGAGTGCTTCGCAATTATTTTATCCGCTAAATCAATCTTTTCCATGCTTTAGCCGGCGGCACCCTACATTGAAGATTACCTTACTCATTCAAAAGACTTATCTTCGCCGGAAGTAAGGAAGAAATTGGACCTGTATTGTGATTATTGCGTGAAGCGTCATGAATACCTTAAAGCAGCCGAAGTGAAAGATTATATAGCCCAGAACTCAGGGTAACTGACGTTAACGATTCCCCGTGAACATTTATTTTTTTCGTTGCCTAACACCCTTTTTCTTTCAGGGGAGATGTTACTTTACAAGAGCGGTTGCATTACCTCTCCCATGCCGTAGGGCAAGCTGAAAGTGCCAAAGAATTCAGCGAGAATGCCAAAGTGATTGAGGCGTTAAATAAATATCGTCTTAAAATGAAGGTAATTCACTTTTCCGCATTTCGCGTCCTTGGTGAGATAACGAATAGCTCGTTAAGCGATTTATCCTATGATCCTTTTGTCAGATCGCACAAATACAATTCGAAATTTATACAGATATAAATAGTATGCCCGAAAACGTTTACAGCAACTTTGCGACATCGCAGGGGATACCTAGCAGGGATGAAGTACTTGCGCTTCTTAATCAAAAGCTCTATGATTCTCACATTGTAAGGGATACATTAAATTTCGCATGTTTGTACTTTGCCTCTGAACGTTATTTACTTATAATTGTCGGGTGTAATCTCTTTTTTTTTTCTCAAGCTCTTGAACGATTTTATCCACCCGTTTGACCTGTATGAAAAGAAGTTAGCCTTGTTACAGATCGTGGAAGAAGCCCCCTATCAAACCGAAATAGTAAATGTCTGGGAAAATATAATACAAAAAGGCATTTATCATTGATTTTCTTGTACAAGATTTATAAATGTTTCAATGAAATTAATCATTTTTAATTAATTAATTGTTTTTTTTGTTTTTTTTTTAAAGCTATACAAAAATCAGATCAAACCAACTCTATTCAGCCGATAGCCGATGTACTTGTAAAAGCCGGTCGAAAGTATTACCCCAGCGACACGCGCATGATGCCATTAGGTAAGCGATACTGATGGCAAAAGATTTTGGTACAAGAAGGTTTCTAACCTTACTTTATGCATGTGACATCTTATTCTAGACAAGATCATTATCGCGATATCGAAATACTTTATTGAGAACGAAATAACAGATCCTGGTATTATCACAAAGATTCTAAGGCAGGCAAATATAAATTATGCCGTCTTGTTTGAAACCGTTAAACACGTCTTGAATAATAGATCGGTAAGGTTGAAACGATTCTTTTTTTTTCATGTGTTGTTGTACGTTTATTATACAAGACCTTTTTTTTTTTTTTTTTTTGAATTTAGAACGAAACGTTATATACAAAGGACGGGATGCGATTTTTATTCCGAGAACTTTGTTTTATACTTGACGAATGGATAAAAACCAGCGGTGAAGTGTATGTATTATTAATTTTTTTTTTTTTTTTAAGGGTAGATTAATTTGTAAAGGGAGTAGAGGAAATACCATCCATCCATCCATTAATCTTTTTCCATCCAATTTTTAGATACGATATCGATACTAATAGCATACTTAATTTAATTGATCGATGGATTATGGTCATTGATAGTAGTAAGCTTGGACAAGATTTGAGGGAAATTTTTATGGAAAGTAGAAGAAATATTGAAGCATTAAAAAGGAGAAAGAATGAATAAAAATCTTAAATGTGATAATTATTTTTGGAAGTTTATTGTTTTTATTGTATTTTGATAATCAAGTTGTAGTTTATATGGTTTTTAATATTACAAATTTTTGCGTTTATAGAAGAGATCATTATAATAAATTGATTATGATCACATAATTTTGCGACATACGTCGATACTTTAAAAATTAAATTCAATGGTTTGCTTCAATTTCATTGAGGATTGTTTGCCTAACGGATGAAAGATCATAAAAAATCTTTGCAACAACAATTAAAAAAAAAAAGATAATAAATAATGATATCCATCCATTTCTGTTTTTTTTTCTTTTGGCCTCAATGCTATTTTTATTTTTATTTTTAATTAAAGCATAGGACCTGATACACGTGAAAAACGCGAAAAAAAGTGAATACGCGCTCGCGCTCTATTGAGTAACCATCAGATGATCATTTCAAATATCCCCTTAAAGTTAGATGAACTGCCATTTTAGAATTAATTATAATGTTGATTGATCAACGGACAATCAATTTGTAGATTATTAATTCTACCTGTCCAGACAAGATTATTTAAAAAAAAGAATCTTAAAAAAAGAAACAAGATCTAACGAGAGTGATAGGTTTTAACCAATTTACTATACCTTACCCCGAAACATAACGATTTTGGATTTTTGGAATTCGTCTGTGAATTAAAAAGTTCGACTTCTAACAAATCAATTAGCAAAAAACTTAAGCCTTTCGACGAAAAAAAAAAAAGAAAAAGAAAAAAATGTCCGCAAATAGGCCTTCACGTCACCATGGGTTTCGAGGATATGGCGCAGCGGATCATGACCGGTTAAAACGAGCATTGTTGCAACCGGTTCAATCTTGGTAATTAGGAAAAAAAAAAAAAAAACTCTTGAGATTTTGTAATCTCCTTGAAAAATTACTTTATCTTAATACACACCAATGCTTCTTATGGCATTTTAGGGAAAGGAAGTGGCAATACCCTTCTAATGGGAAAAATTTCAAAGTGATGAAATGGGTTAAAGGTAAAAAAAAAAAGGGTTGTCAATGTACTCATTTATTTGATCAATTTGATTAATTAATAATGTATAGATGAATAGATATAATTGTATTGGATTGATTTTCAATTCATATATATATCTAAATATCCATTTGCATTCCCTTATAGCTGATAGGAAGATCAGTTTTATTGATGATGACGACGATGAGGTCGGAAACGTGGCAACACCAACTCGCCTTCCGATTGTTGAGGTAATTTTCAACCAACTTCAATTCACCTTTTTTTTTTATTCGTTATATTAATCAAACCTCGATCGTGAGTCACAGGATACTCCAACTCCAACAGCATCGATACAACCGCCCACGGAAGCATCAACGCCTCAACCATCGGAGACGGAACCTGACACCGCAAGTTTCTTGAGACCGCTACCGCACCTATCATCAATACCCAAATCGTCATCGTTACTTCGCGAGGCCTCCCTTACATCAGCGGTTAGCACGCCCGGAGAAACGATTACCACCAACAACAATAACACGCCACGTGATGTAGAATCATCCCTAGGGAACAGCCCGGAGATGGAAGGGTTGGATGATGACGAAGAGCAGATGGATGATGTTATCACGTCTCAATCGATTTCCCAAAAGAACAAAGTTAATAATTTGGAATTCAATGTAGAATTAAAGCAAGTTAATGAAAATATTGATTTATTTAAAAAACAATCAACGAGCGTCGTATTTAGCAAAAATCAAGATGAATACATAGTTCGAGAGAAACCGAGTAATTATGATGAAGGTGATCAACAAAATGAAGATGAGGAGGAAGAAGAGGAAGAGGAGGAGGAGGAGGAGGAGGAGGAATATATGGTTCAAAATGATGAATATGTTGTTCTTCGAAACGATGCCTATAATAGGCAAACTCATCAAGTCGAAGATTATGATATTGTTCAAGTTGAAGATTATAAGGGTTATAATGAAAATAATGATGATGATGATGATGATGATGATGATGATTATGGGGAAAGAGCCGATGAATATGGTAATCAAGATGAAGATGATTATGGTGTAAGAACCGGCGAATACGTGAATAGAATTAGTGAATTTGATACCAGGAATAGTGAATTTGATGGTAATACAGGTGAATATGGCAGTAACGAATATTTAGGCAGGACAGGTGAATATGGAGTTCAAAATGATGATTATGGAGAACCTTTAAGTGATTTTGATGATCAACCCAACGATTATGTTGGATACGATGACCAACAAGTTGGTATACAGAGTCAAATAAGTGAGTTTCCTGAACCACAAAATCCTTATCAAGAACAGAAAGTGAATGAATTCACCGAACTCAACGAAGCAAAGAACACACAAGATGACGATATTGAACAAGGTCAATTTAACATAGATACATTTGGACAAAATATTCAGGATGCGTCTATTTAAATGATTAATTTCTTTTACCTTTTAAACATACTAATTTTGTTTTATTTGATGAACTTTTTTATTTATAGATTTAAAACATATAGATTAATAAAAAGTATTTATAAATTATATTTATTGATCCTTAAATGGAGATAGTATTATGTAAATTGATGAAATTCTCCTAGAAATAAAAAAAAAAAATAATAATAATCATTTTCGAAATGATCAACGTGTCAAATTTGATAAGTTCTCGTTCCACTTAACTCAGGTTCGGAAATGAAGTTTTAATCAGTCAGAGTTCGATTTTGAAGATCAATCTGATGAATCTGATGAATAAAATCTGGAGGCCCATTCCATCTTTTTTTTTCCAGAGTTGCGTTGATTGGCTAAAATTTATCATTGATTCAAGCATTTTCTTCATTGGGTAGTTGCCCCTTTTATCCTTTTATTGGTTATTTTCATTTTTTAAACTTAAGGATAAAGGGAAGTTGCTCAAGTATTAATTGCTAAATCTAGTTCAAAATCGGTGATTTTTATATGTTTGGTGATCAAAAAAAGATCGGTCGATCAAAAAAGTAAATGGTTAGTGACTTGGTGGTTTCACTCCCAAAAATGTCTTCTCAAATTGATCATGATGTTAAATTTCAACGTGCCCCTACTTGCGAAGAATTACAAGAATTCGAATTTATTCGAGTTCTCAGTGAAGGTAATCGAATAAATTTTCGATTCTTTAAAGTTAACATTTAATTAATCTCTTTTTATTTGGCAAAGATCCTCGTACAAAAACTGCCAACATTTTAGGGAAACTTAAATCATCATCTGAATCACCACGAGATGCGATATTATTATTAGAAAAATTACATTTTAGTAGTGAAGAGCTTCCAATCCTTTCAAAAGAGAGAGTTCAACGATGGATAGCAAACGATAAGAATGACATATATCATTGGTACAACGGAATATTAACTAAAAACGAAAAATGGCCGGATTTCAAAGTTACATTGATATGGCCCGCTACCGAGACGGTAAATTTTTTTTCATTTTGAGAATCACCTTTTTTAAAATTTAAATAATTATATATATGAGAATACCCGCACGAATTATTAGCATATTCGAAAGTACAGTTTCCAACCTCGCTTTTTGATTCGAGAGACTCCTCAAATTTACGAAACAATTGTTAAACCTTATATCGAATCTATACCTTCGAGCAGAATTCAATGGGTCTATAATATTTTGTCAAAAAAGAGTGAGGTTGAAAAGATCCTGTTAGACGTTGAAGGGGAATCAACAGGATTCCTTCTATTACCAGATATGAAATGGGACAGTGTGACATTAGAAAATCTTTATCTCGTCGCTATTGTACACAGAACAGATATTCGTAGTCTACGTGACCTAAATGAAAATCATTTGCCATTACTTAAGAATATAAGACGTCAAATCCTTGGGTTTGTTCCGCAAAAATATTCGGGTGTTAGATCGGACGAATTGCGCTTTTTCGTTCATTATGTGCCATCTTATTGTAAGTGTTAATTTCCGTGAAATGAAAAAAATTTTTTCCCCCTCTTTGTTAAAAAGTCACTTTATTTTATTTATCTAGATCACTTTCATGTCCATGTTACACATGTTAGAAATGATTCGATAGCTGGGGGACTAGCGATCGCCAAAGCTTACTTATTAGATGATGTTATAGAGAATTTGGAAAATTTTGCTGGAGATTATTATAAGAGAGTGACGCTAACTTACGTCTTGGGAGAGAATGATCCATTATTTTCTCAAATGAATGATATTGGAGCAAGAGTTACATTGGATATCTAAAGTACATTCTGTCGAATTAAAAATATATTATTTTATTCTGGTTTAACAATCCAGAAAATCGGCTACCATAAGTAATTCTAAGGCTAGATTTGGTTCGATTGGAAATGCCGGTATGTCGGTCTGAGATGCGGTATATCGAGATTTATAATACAAATATTGGCACACTTTCTCCAAGATCACGGCCCTAAATTTTTTTTAATAAAAATTATAATAAAAATTGTGAATTGAAAATGAAATAATAATAAGAGAAAGTTCATACGTAATATCTCGAAAATGAACTATGTTCTGGTCAGATTCCATAAATTGTCCTAAAAAATAAAAAAAATGATAAATAAAAATAAATAAAATAAATAAATAAATAAAATAATTTGTTGTCAATAATTACCAGGACTTGATAACATGTTCTTTATAGTACCAGAAATCAACGCGGCATTTCTTTCAATATAAAATTCGAATCCGTCTGAGCTTGTGAGCTTAACATATTCTGTTGAGGAGTGAGATTTGTTCTGCGACATGGTGTATTGAACAAATTCAGGGTCAGTGGTCCACAAATAAATTAGTGTATAGAGGCACGTGAAATTGGGTTCGGATCGGCAGATGCTGTGACCTTGATAAAAAGAGAAAAACATGACAAATCGTGAAGGTCTTTAATCGTGACGTAAAAAATTCCACCGAATGCTAGATTTTCACAAAAACAAGATTATGAGCGTAAACATTGCGAGGATGATAGCGTTATCATCATTTATGAGGACACTGTCTTTTCCCTTGTCAATTATGAAATCATTTCGTGTATAAAAGAATCTGATCAAATTAATGATTCATTATGAGATGGTAAGACCAAATTTTTTTGAACGGCAATTCATCATCATTAGATCAGATGCAACATATTCCGAGAGACGATTTACTCGCGCGTTTCGAGAAATGTAAGGAGGTCATCATGAAGCACAGACGTCAAATTGTAATTTATATACATACAAGGTAAGGACTTCTGTGACAACGGAAAATAGACTATAGACAAGAGTAAAAGGAAAAATATTAATTAGATTTGATGTCACGGGACAGGGATGAGACAACACTGAAATTGTTTCATGCTCGTCATCCTGTTACCGTGCATCCAAATGTAAATGCCCATAAAGTTGCTTACCCTTTTCATTTAAAATTTATTTTAACACATGATTATATTAAATTAACACCTTTTCATTTCTATGCTTGTATGATGATCTTACCTTATATGTTTGATACGGCTTTCGGATTCTCTATTAATTTAATATTTAATATAAACCAGGAAAAATTAAAATATCGATAAATTAAAAATCCATAACCATCATAGTGACATGACAAAGTTAAATTGGTGAATGTTTTTTTTTTTAACTTCGATTTTTGAAGATGAGAATTTTTTGAAATAGCACGCGTCATAATGACATCTTCGATGTTGTAAATCGAAAGATTTGTTAAGATTTAACGATCGTCGTTAATCATTATAACGAAAGCCCTGAACCTAAAAAAACAAGTCGAAAAATTTCTGGGACCATCAATGATTATATCATGTGATTTATCGTCCAAAATTTTCATTCGATTCAGGTTTTAATGAATTTCGACTGATTAAATCTAAAAATTAGCGGGGAAATAACATTAACTGGGTCAAAAGATCAAAATATGATGAATTTATGAATTCATGGAAATGGAGAGATTAATATTAAAAGGCGATGAACCTCATTGAGATCTATCCCCCTTATTCTAGCCTTATCTTTTTCGGACAAAAACATTTGTACAAAATACAAGTATAATCGGGGGTCGATGATTTTAAATGAAGTATCATTTGCTTAATTTGACACATAATACTATGTTTGACAATCTAGTATTACGAATTACAAATGTCAAAAACGTCATGATGATGCCTATCCCATCCAATGATTTTTTTGATGTTTCAAAACACAATTTTTTTTCTAAAATTTTCGTCCTAAAAATATGCGTAATGCCCACGAAGCAATATGTCATCATATTAAAGTTTGGTCACAACCACTTTTTTTTAAAAATAAAATCTCTCCTAAAATGTGAAAAATATCTTAAGCAAAAGTGGGCTGGATTTGTGTGGCGTTACTTAACCGGAGAAGGTGGCGAGGTAATGAACTCCACTATTCTTGCCTGATAGGGTATATGATGTATTAACTTTTGCTTATTTAAGGATTTTTGGATATTTGGTTCACAGAAAATCATTCCTAATTTTGAAATTTCGTGTCGTGTCGTGATTGATGATTGCCGCAGCTGGTCTTTAATTACATCAATAGTTAAAAAAAATTTTTTTTTTTTAACGAGTAGATCATGACTCTATTTAGCAAAAAAAAGATCCATGATGCATATCTTCATCATACTTAAAAAAAATTTCCCCGATGTTATGGGAACTTCAGAAAATTTTATGGTAATACGATATGGGCTGCAAATTTTTATATATAATGTAGAGAGAATTGACCTGAGGTTTTCAACAATTTTTCTAGATTTGCCAACAAAGAAAATAAAAAAAAGTTCTCTAAAAATATCAGAATGCAAGTCGGTTCAGATTATAAAGGAAAATCAAGTATGGTCGATGATGATGGAAAAAGATTTGTCGGAACCGATAAATGGATGGTTTCTGTGGTCATTGAACAAGGTAATTAATTTAACATAAAATTTTCAAAAAAAATTTCCCCCTTTTTTTTATTTTTAATTAAAAAAATTTTTCATCTTTTAATAGGACGAATAATATCGAAATTCGACTACAAAATGACGGCGTATGATCCACAAACGTTCAGAGCATTCTTCGAACCCGTCAAAGAAACGAAACCGATGCGATTATACGCTTCTCCTTCAAAGCGTCAAAGACCTCAAATATTATCAATCACATTACTTGAATTTAATCAAGGTCGTATCACCGCCGAAGAACAAATTTCGTTGCATCCTCTTTCGTTCTCTGTTAATGAACCTGGAACTTTCTGTTTGTTCCGTGACCGATCATTTTGGCATATGTACGTCCAAGTCGGTATGGAAGATCATGCTTACGAATTTAATAAAAGGAGAGACCCCCAAAGATGGGTGACACCCTTAGGTTTTGAAGTTGAAGTTGACATGGATCTTTCAGAAAAGAAAAGTTCGGATTTTGTTGAAACTTATCATGAAGATAAAAGTTATGATAAATCCGAAAAGAATGAAGCTGATGTCAATGAAAAATCAAGCCGAGATATTCTTACACCACCTCCTATGGTTCGTTCGACTTCTTCTTTTCCGTTCCATAACCGCACTTTCACCGATTGGTGTGTAAACAAGCCGCCAAAATGGAAAAGAAAATTAAAGCAAGTCGCTAATAACGTTCGACATGCATTCAACCGAACAAGACTCTAAAAAAATTTTGGCGATTGCGCGAGATATTATATATATATAGTGAAACGGACTTTTGTAAATAGTTATGGACAATAATATTTCATTATATTATCCCAAAAAAAAAAAATTTCCCAGCTCTTGATTAGGTACAAGTTTTCTCTGACACCGCTCTTTTTGGTGGATACAATACCCCCCTTTTTTTTTTTCGATTCTAAAAAAAAAAAAAATGCAAATCGTGCTCCAAGCGATTAATTACAGATCTCACAAATTTTCAAATTTATGATTTTTTTATACCACCACAATTTTTTTTAAAAGAAAAATTTAAGCTATCATCTTTCAAAAATTAAGCTTCACACCTTTATTCCGCAAAAACCCTATTATAATTTAATTTTATAAGACTGAATAAGTTTAATTATGCTTTTAATTTTTAATCTAATACTTTATTATATTTATTATATTCTTTAATTATTATTATTTTTACTTTATAATTTTTTTTTTGTTATTCGTTTAATTATTTTTGTAAAAAAAATTTTTTTTTTTTTTATAAAAGTGTTAAACGAATAATTTATATCTTAATAATTTAATTCTATGCTTTAAAAATTTGTGAATATCTGTATATTATGATTCCATTTTTCTTGCATTTTAATTCTTTTTGTCTATATAAATATTATTGTATTTGTATTATTGTATCATTTTATTGGGGATACTGATTGAGAATAGAAATCGTTTACTTTGGGTTTAATAAAAAATAATTCTTTGAATTTTTTTGAATTTAATTTTAGAAACCTGATAAGACGTTTTTGAAATTAGTAAGATCTGCTATTGCTTTTTGTATCTTAGTTTTCGGCTAATTCTTTTTAAACTTAACTATACGTCATCCCAAGAATTTTAATTTTTATAAATAAAGAAACTGAAATAGTCGAGCCCATTTCGGCCATACTAATTTTGATCCTTTACCAAAAGGGAAAAAGACTCTAGAAATATTAAGATAGTAACTACAAATAGGCGCTTAGAATAAATATATCATGGATTAGAAAAATTTTCGTCCGTGCTAAAAAAATTCTTTCTGCTAACAAATTCTTAAAACCACCTAAAAATAGGAATTTGTAAGAAATCGGTGTCAAATTTGATATCAAAGGCGGTCACATTTAATATTTGTTCATTAATCTAATAAATTTGGTTTGTATCATTAATTTTGGGATGATTATAAAAAAATACTCCATATTTTCATGAGGAAAAAAAAAATTTGTTTCATCTTTATATTTACTTTTTATTGTTATTCTAGTAATCATAAGATCATACATAAATCGAGCGATTAAATTCTTTATTTTATTTCGAAATATAAACTAGAACTCCTAAAACAATTTCTTCATATCTACACATCATTAACTTCGCCGGCGGACTACCGGCATAATGCATACAAGGTTCCTTTCCATACAACTCTATTATCTTTTTGGTAATGCATCATTACCCACTCGTTTCCATTCCAGTTTGTTGTAAAACCAGGTTCAACCTCAACGTCATCTTCGAACTCGGTGGTTCTGAAGACATGACTTCTGAGGCATCTTGGCATCGAAAGGGGACCACCTGAAATTCTTGCCCATACGAGCTAAGTTTTGTGCTTTTATTAGCCTTTTCTCATACGGTAGGGTTTGAAAAGCATTTCAATCATTTAATAAAATATAGTCTGATTAATGAGATATTTAATCAATATTAATTAAATTAAATTTTTAAACAAATTCTTCAGCAGCATCATTTTTGAAATTTTAAGTAAAAATAGATATTTTGTTTGAGACTTTTCAAATTTATTATTACCTGATTCCAATAAAAAAGTTGAATATTATTCAAAACCATTTAATTTATTATAATAAATAAATATTTAATTATTAATTTTTTTTATATGAAAATTGAACGTCTTTTATATTAGTATTAAAATCAATAATTAAATCATTTGAATTGTATTTAAAACATTTACTTTGTTAATCAATAAACAAAAGTCTTCATTCATTATTATTTACTCTATTGTAATTAAAAAAAAAGATTTAAAATTATTAAAAAATGGGAAATTTTGTTAATATAAGTTAACTATATTAAACTTACCTTTAAATACATTTTTAAAAGGATTACTATTAAAAGAAAAATTAAAAAAAAAAAAGCAGAAAATATTAACAAAATATACCATTGCTTTCAAAAGAAATTGTTCTAAATAACTATTTTTTTTAAAAAAAAAGAAGCAAAGTTTATAAGCTTTGAAGTTATTCAGCAGAATCTAAAAATTCTAAAAAATAATAGTAATTTTTCTAAATTACATAATAGTAGTCTACTTTAGCTGATTGAAAATATTAACTATCTGATTAAAGATAAATAAAGCAAAATAGTACTCAATAAGTTTTTAATGCTACATTCATTTTAATAAAATGAAATAATATTAATATAGTCAATATAAATTAACTTAGATTTTTAAATAAGCTTATTATTAATATTTATACTATATAATAGATAATAGAAAAATCAAACAAATTGACTCTAATATAATATATAATCTTGAGATATAGATAAAATATATATGTATCATACTTAGTAAATAGTTTAATAGAATTATCCAAAATATTTTATTTAAAGAAAATTAAAAATTACCTTTTCTGTTTATAATAGTCTTTATTTCATTTAATAATTATATAAATTCTAGAGTTCTGAATGAGTCGAGTCGAGTCGAGTTTAAAGATCAATTCTATTCGATTCATTTTTTTCGAGTCGAGTCGAGTCAAATTTATTTTATAAAATCTTTCAACTCGACTTGATTTAAGTTATATAAATTTTAAACTCAACTCGAGTTTAACTTAACTCAATTTTGACTTGAATTTATTTGAGTTGAGTTAAGTTCAAATCAAATTTCAAGTCAAATTTAAATTAACTTATA